ATCGGCGATCGGGATCTATCGTGTCCTGTCGGGCGGACGAGCGTTAAACCCACGGTGAACTTCGAGAGAGTCCCCGGCCGACGAGTCTTCGACGTGGGGAGTCCACGCCGAGAGCGGTCGGAGGATTTCTGAGCGAGCGCACAGTGGTAGCTGATGTATTTTGACGTGCCCGATGAGAGAGGCTGCTCTCTCTGTTGACTGCATTATCTAATGGACCACCCTCTCCGCCTTCGTCCGTCCCCCTCCGCCCCTCGTTGTCTCTCTCTTTGCCGGCTGTCTCTCTTCCCTCACTGCCCGATGCACGACGAGTCGGCGTTTCAGCTATCTGCGACCTGCCACATCGAGAGATGACCGTTCGACTGCACGCATCGGCTCTGGTTTCGTAATCGACCGCGAATTTCTTCCTTTTCTTACACGCCTTGCGTAATCACTGATGTCATTCGTGCGCATACATGCACACGATCGACTACCGACACTGAAATTGCAGCGGAGCTTAAGTAATCGAAGCGGTGGTCAAATTTAGGAATAAAAGAAGAAAAAAAAACACTCACTATTTAAAAATCGATACTTGGAAATATGGATTGATGGATTTCGATGTCGCGCTGAAAGCATAAACGCGCGACATACACGCTGAAAATAATTCAGATCTAAAGAAACACGAAGAAAATAAGAAACGTGAATGGTAATCTATTCAGGCACGCGAGAAGTATGTACGTCGATCGAGTGCTACGAGATTTTCTGTTCGGTGAGGAATGCGAGAAAAAAAGGTACCGCGTTGAATTCTTCAGATGATATTGCCGATAGCTTGGCTCGCCAACCCAAGAGCTCCGGCTCAGACTCGACGCTGGGCGTGCTCGATTTGGTCGGGAGAGAAGTTACGCCGCAGTTACATCCAAGGCGAGGTAACGCGCAAAAAGCCCGAGTATCTTCAGCGAGCACCGAGAGAAAGAAAGAGAGAGCGAGAGAGAAAAAGAGAGAGAAAGACGTGCCGTGGAGAGCGTTTTTCGCGACCGACAAAGTATTGTCCGTCGTCGTACTCTTGCATCTCGCATCGGAGCGAGAGCGAGATCGTGCGACCGTGACTCTGGAATCATCCCTAGACCTTAGACCCCCGCGCAGCATCGTCCGCGCCCAGCTATCTTCAACACTGTTCCGAGAGCCGTGTACAATCGCTCTCTCGTATCCGCCAGCATCAAATTACCAGTTTCTCCTCGATCTACGATCCGCTGTCGTCGTCGCTCGATTGGTACCCTCCGACGAGCGCGTCGTTCCGGTGTTTTCTGTCGAATTTGCGTGGCGGTTGCCGACGCTTTCGATTAGAAGCATCATCTCGCGCTGACGTCAGCTCAGATATTCATGATCGCTCCCTTCAGCGGTAGCGTGAATAATAAATGTAACGCGTATCTGTCGTATATGTACAATATATATTTACGAACAATCGGAAGAATGCGAAAAAGCCGTGTCTAAGTTTACAATAATGAGAGTCGGTGCGTGAGGTCCCCGCGCGATTGCACGGAGGAAAAAAGGCTCGTCCTTCGTCGCGACTCGCCGCGACGCGGACCGATGCACTCCTCGTCCTGGGTACCGTAGGTGGATAACGTCGTCGGACTCCGGAGAGAGCAGCCCCATTCGAGGCAATTCTTTGCCGGCTCGCGTGTATCCTTAGTATGCAACGTATGCAGTCGGTTGTTACCGAAGGAGTGGTTTGCTGAGCGGCCAATGGCGAGTGCTCGAGCTAATTCTAGGGTGCCGCCGCCGCGCCATCTTTGCATCATAATGCTGTCCCCCCGTACCCCGGCGCTCGCGCTCCCTCCCTCCCCCCGTGCCGCCGCCCCTACCCGTCACTGCGAGAAGTCTGCCCCCTTCTTCCTCCTCGTCGCCGCCGCCGCCGCCGCCGCCGTCGTCCCGCAACCTCCTCCTCCCTCTGTCCTCCTCGTCCTCCCGTCCGCCCCCACCCGCTCCCACTTTCTCTCCACCCTTGTTTCGTTTCGTGTAGGAAGGAGAGAGGGCGAAGGAGACGAAACACCGGCGGAAGAGGGAGAGAGCGAAAGAAAAGGAACAAAGAGAAACGTCTCGGAGGCGCGTTATGCCAAAGTGGATAAGGAGAAGAGTGCACAAGAGGGAGATGGAGAGGTGTACAGGCAGGGGAGGGAAAAGGAGGGGCACACGGCCATGGCGAAGAGATAGAGGGGACGAAGGGGTTGTCTGCGCCTTGTCTGCCGGGAATCAATCACGTATCAGTGATGCTCAACCGGTGGCCACCTGCGAGACACGATCGATGAGATCGCGATACCTGCTCACGATACCACATCGATGGCATCCGCTGTTATTTTGCGCCGTGGAAATCACGGCGACGTGCGCGTCTGCGGCGCACAGTTTCGGTGAGGAGGAAAGAGATAGGAGAGGGAGAGAGAAAGCGACGGGAACGACGCTCTCGTCGCGACGTTTGATTGCACTCGCAACGAGATTCAAGGAGAAGTATGATATATTCTCGCGATGCCGGTGGCCGAATAAGAAATACATTTGCATCTAAAGTGGATGGATGCCTTTGCGCGAGCCCCTCGACGATCTACTTCCACGGCGGCAATATGATCTCTGATTACCGTCGTCCCAGAAATATGACGCGCGAGTAGTAGAGGGCGATTAAAGCCGCGTGCCTAATCTCCATGCTATACCGGCGCGAGCAAAGGTAAGGTAATGTCGTCGTACCCGAGGACGCCCACGGCGACGTGGTACCTACGCCTCGCGCTACCGTCTTACCTGTCAGAGTAGGGTAATGTTAAACCGAGCGAGCGCGAGAAGCTACCGTCTTCCGCCGAGCTACCTTCCTGAAGAATCGCGACAGATCCATCTCGGCGCGTCACTAGATTACACGAAGAATTCGTTAAACGCGTATTAAGTTGTTCGTAAATTACCGATATAAGAGAAAAGATATAATCTTTTGTTTTTTTTTCAGGAATCTTTAATATCCTTAAAAAAACGCGTATGTGTTGTGACATTATTGTTGCTTTTAACGCTGTTTTGGAAGATTAAAAGAATAAAATCGAGAAGAGAGGCGCAGTCGCTCTCGATCGACTCCTAATCTTTTTGCTTCGATACACCTTTTCGCGAGAACGCGTGCAAGAACCGATCAACGTCTCGACGGGCGCTATTATTCGTTGCACTCTCGGCGCAACGGAGAACGATCCGGCGAACGATCGAGGCAGGATCGTCATCGAACAAAGCCGAGATTCGCGAGAGAGATAGAGTCAGAAGTGTCGAGGGCCGAGAGATACGCTCGGGAGAAGGCACAATAGCCGAACGCGCCGGTTCACAATGACGGAAAATAATTAAAGCGGGCAGAGGGGGGGGGGGGAGAGCCGTTCAAAGACGCCGACGTGGGTCTCGACCGATCAAACCAATCGGTCCGCGTGTATCTGAGCGAATCTCATGCACGCCCGTCGCCGTGTCGAATGCGCGCACTCCTGTATATATATATCTAATATTGTATGTGTGAGTTCGGACACAAATTCGTGTGCGTGCATCATGCCGGATTGATTTCGCGTACGTTTGCATTGGCGACAAAGAAGCAGATGTCGGAATCCGGAAAAGAAATCTGAAAGTGTGACGACGAGGACAGATGGATGACGGACGCGAGAAAACGAACAATAAACTGCTTACATTGTCGTAATGCCTGTGGTCAACAACAAGCAGCCTGGAATGCAATCGATGCTCCGTGACACAATTTTAAACGAAGTATGAAGAGAAATTTTACGGTAGATTGAGAATTCATCCGAGTCTCCGTCAAGCCGCGCTCTAAATTCTGTGCTGAATTTAACATAGAAATTAATCTGTCGAGAACAAAATATATTTTACTACGTACAATTTATCGCACACTTGATTTTCTATAATTAATCATTTTGCAATAACGAAAATATCATTAAAAAAATCACGATCAAATAAATGATACCTTTTTTTTTTCCATTTCTTTTCTCACACTAATATTGTTTAAATATCGCGTGCTCACGTACGTCTACATGAATACTCGTATGTTATGCGAACGCAGGAGTCCGATGTCTTATAACACCCCGCATCTTTTTAGCGGCGTGACTCACTGCAGAGAGAAATCGATAAATGATTCGACTCGGGCGTTCGACTCGGACCGGCTACCGTCGGATCCGCGCACGGTAGCTGACGAGATGATCGGACCCCCGCTTAGATGTGTACTTTGAGTTTTGGGGCCCACCGTGCTCAGTGTGAAGCCCCCCGCTGTAGAATGATACACCAGGATAATTCCATCGGACTTTGACCACGCCGGGGTTCCGCCACCTGCGGGATGCAGACGGTCAGCGCGAATTTGGCGTTCTCGTTATTCGCTGCGCTTCGATATTCGCGATGTTACATTTGATAATGCATAATAATTTTTTATCAGCGCCAGTCGCGAAAACTGATATTCGCAATCACGCTAACCAATTGCGTTCTCTTTTGTTACAGTGGTGTACCAGAAACGGTTAAAGAAGGAACGAAGAGCGAGAAAACGGTTGCAGGAGCAACTGGACTTGGAGATCAAGAGGCGCACGCAATTGGAAGAGGCTCTCAAAGCCACGGGAGCATCCTCGGAGCAAGTCAGAGCGATTACCGGTACGTGCGCATCGCATTCCCTTAGCGTCCTTCCTAGCAAATTCAGATGGATTATGTAAATTCTACTAGAACACACACGCAAAAAAAAACGAACCGCCTAAAAATGTTATTCTCACACTGGAAAATCTTTTAATACCTTTTGCACCGCGCGCGCGCGCGTGCACTTGTCGAGAGAAATAACGTCTCGAATTTCCATCGCATAGATCAGACGCGAGAGGCGCGCGCGAGAGGCATCGCTGCAAATGGACGGGTTTTCTTAGGATTTCGCGAGCTCGTCGTCAGTTCCTCCGTTAAGAGCCCCGGGGCCACCGGTGATCTCGGAATAAATTAATTAATACGCCGAGGCAGAGCAAACAGCCTGACACCCGGCAGAATATGATTCCTTACTTATCCCCCTGCCGGCGGTGCAATCCCTCTACGTCGTCGACTGCCTGATGGCAGCCTGTTTCCCTGCTTCCCACTCCCCCCTTCACTCCCCCACTGCATCCCGCCCTCTTCCCCCCCGTCACTCCGGCACCTCGACTAGGCACCGCGCGTCTCGCACCGTAATCCTCCGGCAGTAGAAATAGCAGCAACAAGCGGCACCGCCACCCTTCTCGTCCTGTCACTACCAAAACTCAAACGCGAAACCCTTTAAGCGAAATCTCTTATTCCGATATAACGTTTCGTCCTGGCCCCACGTCGTCCTCGCCTCCTTCTACTTATCCAGTTCGTCGTTTTCACGTTACCTCTGGTTGCCGCCGTCGCCGCCGTCGCCGCCGCCGCCGCTGCTGCTGCTGTTGCCGCTGCCGTCAACCGGTACCGCTGATTAACCCTGTCAAATCCAGAGAGTCGCGATACTAATTTCAAATCAAACGGCACGCCACTTGGGCGTCGCGCCGGGGTGGGTCACGAGACGATTACGAAAGCTCTTGTGAGCGTCTTACTAAGAGCTTCACTTTCCGGCGCTCAGACCCGCCGGCCTATTCTCGCGTAGTTCGCTGTCTCCGTTTCTTCTTAGCCGCTTTAACGCTTTGCAGCGCCGTAGCGATCGAAAGTACTGCTTACTGCTCGAAACACTACGTCAGGAAAGAGATTGAAAGCGGGATAACGCTTTTTAGTGGAAATCGCGATAATCGAGCGACCACTATTTTGCTATGACGCAGAGAACGTCACGGCGGAGGCGCGCACAAGTTCGGAGCCGCCGGAAGCTAGCCCGGTGCACTCCCAGTCGCAGCAGCAGTCCTCGCAGCAGCCGCCGCCGCAGCAACCCCATCAACAGCAACAGGCAGCGGCTCAGCAGTACCGGGAGGCACAAGTGCCGCGTCCTTCCCAGCAGCCGTCGACGCCGGAGAAGCCCGCATGGGGATACGGGCTGGATCTCATCGGTAGCCAGGCGTCGGCATTCTGGCAAAACTACCAAGGTCAGTCTCTCAGCGCGGCACGCTATTTCACCCCCGTCGTACCGTCCGTTTCGTCCGTCGGGATTCGCCGCTCACACGATGTTCCCACGGAATCGCGCGCGGACAAATAAGCGGCGAATAACTTGAACCACTTACCGAGAGATCGCAATAGCCATCCCCGCTTCTTCTTTCCTCCCGATGTTTCCTATCCTGCGAGAATCTGCCGCATAGGACGAATTACACGAATTGCATTTTCTTGGCGAAATATTCCGGAAAAAAATAAAATTAGAAAAAAAAACTGACACACGCGAAAGTTGCTCGACGAGAGCAAATAAAACCGCTCGAGAGAGTTGACTATCTACATTGCAAAGTTTGTGGAAATTCGAGAAAGTAAGCAGTCGCGTGTTAGAAGCTTGTGTTAGAAGCTTGAGATCAAGAAGAGAAAATGCGATGAAGATCCAAGAGCGAGAAGCAACAGCGGGATCCACTAATTCGGATAATCGCATTCCCGTATTAGGATCCACTCAATTTTTCTGATCTTCCGGCCGAGTGCTCCCGATCCTCGATTATTCTGACAAAAAAGAAAAAGAAAGAGAGAGAGGGAAGAGAGAGAGAGAAGAAAGAAGAAAAAAAGAGGAAATCGACCCCGGAGGGCGAGGGAGATGACGGAGCGGAGGTGTATGTCGTGGTGGTATCGTGCAAAGTAAATTATTCGAAAGATCTCGAGCGAGAGCAATCACGCCGCCGGCAATAACAACCCCGCGCACGAGGAGAGGGTAGGAGAGGAGAAAGAGGGAGAGAAAGAGAGAGAGAGGAAAGGGGGGGGAGAAGGAACCGAGTTGGTCCTGACGAGGAAACACGAGGTATTTGAATAGGGTCCCGCAGCCACCCGGGCATCATGATGCGGAATCCATTTGCAATAAACAACGGAGATTTAGACAAGGGTGACGCGGGAGAGGAGAGACAACGACAAGCGGAGCCGTGTAGCGCCGGGATGGACGGGAGGGAAGGCGGGGAGGGATGGCCATCGAGAGGGAACACGGGGAAAGAGGTAGTTCGACGTAACGTCGTCTGAGGTGGATACTTACGCCACTGAGGGGACCTCGGGGGCCACCGCCGCGTCTTCGAGTCATGCATTCTATACGAGCGGTGGCTCTCATTTTCATCACGCGGCCACCAGAGCGAGCGTGCGCCGCGTGATATCCGTTGTGCTGTATCGTGCGCGACCGATACGCCCGCGCGATACGCCGCAACGATTTCCACAAGCTTTCGTCAATTCGTCCGCGAAGAAATAACTCGTGTATTGATTGCGCGTTGAGAAAGAAAATATTTAGGCTGCAGATCTACGAGAGTTTTACCGCTCGCCACGGCTCTGCTCCTCGGCTGATCTCTCAAGCCGTTGATGACCGGTGGAGGCATTTGTAACGCAAATCCGCTCCGAGAGGAAAGCTCGGCAACGGCTATAACAATGTTTACGCCGCGCCGCGGACTCTGCCGATCGGTCGTGCGATCGCTGTCTCGTCCGAGTCTCACGTAACTCACTCACATGTGAGCGCCACTGGGTGTAATGCAGAGTTTATGCACATCTCTCGCAAGTAAGGAAGGAGCCGTAATTTCCCCGGCGGCCACCGCGGCTCTCGGTGGCGTTACCTGGTCCCTCCCTCCTTCTTCCACTCACGTCGTTCTCTCCGCGCTTCCCTTAAACCTCCTCCAGCCCTCCTCCCCCGTGCCCCCTTCTCGCGCTGCTCCCTTCCTCCCCTTCTCTCACGCGTGTGCGCACACATGCATGTATGCACGACGCGCGATTCCTCCACGTCCACCATCCGCAGAGTACGACGAAGCACTTCGCCACGCTTTAATATTCAGACTATATGCAATAATTTCGCAGCAACCATAACTTCGCCCCCCCGACCCCCCCCACCCC